TAGGGTCACAACAATAAATGTCAAACTGCCCATTCGTGTACGGACTTGAAAACCCACATGCCTATAGAGTAGAACACAATATTTGGCCTCGTGATTTTGTGATTTGGATAGTTTTCGTGTGGACCTCATTTCATCTAAGTCTAACCGTTGACGAATGTCAACAACAACAGCCACACTAACAACAGCAACAACAACAAAATATCAACAACAACAACAGCAGCAGCAGCAGCAACAACAACAACAACAACAGAATAATAATAATTATTAATAATAATAATAGTAAAGATAATAGTGAGGTCGTCAATAATTAATACTAATGTCATTGATGTAGGTTCGTGTTCGTATTACTAAGATGTAAGGCCAATACTGAGGACAGGAACAGACTCACTTACGGATAACTTGATAATAAGTATACACGATAACGGTCCTAGAACGCGCTAGCACTGTTGCGCTCGCAATAATTTCGTTTGGGGCTTAGCTAGATCGAGGTTTAAACTCTCTAACGCGATAACTGTTGCCGATAAACGGATTCCGGATATACACTGCGTGTGCACAGCATGTATACAGCGTATTAATTATTTATCATACAAACTGCAACATATATGTCATTATATATGTATAGACCGACCTGCAATATAGATTAACACAGGCAGAATAAGAAGCCGATGGGAAATGTATAATGTGCTGAATTGTGTGATATGTGTAATATACACAACAACGGATACATACTCACTGATTTCGCTGAATATTTTTAATACATTTCTAAAATCCGGTATTTCTTTGTAATTTCACTTATAAAATTCGATGGAATAAAAATTGTGTTTAATTATTAAATTCGAACATCGAAATATTACGCGTGTGCTATCAATGATGTAAGTAATGAGGTAGGGTATGAATCGGTTGCCATAATATGATAAATTTCCACAACTATTAGCTTAGAAAGATAGATCTGATCAAGAGCTAATAATACCTTATAATATTATATAATATATATATAATAATAGGTATTATTAGCTCTTGATCTGATGTATAATATTACTGTTTGCGTTATATAAGCCTAGTGATGAAATTTGCCATTTCTTATTGGAAAATTTTTCGAATCACTTGTTTCTATTCCTAAGATAATTTATCTGAGGTTCTTATAATTTTTTAAGGTTAATAAAAGCCAGTTTGTTGAAAATCCATGCTATTGTAATACCTAGTAACTTCCAGCGCAGTATGGGAAACTAGGAGAAATTGTTTAGCGTATTGCTTATATTTATGATAACAAACGTGTAAATGTATTGTTACTAAATGTGCTAAACAAAGGGGTTAATCAGACAAGCCACGAAATTAATGTAAACTCTGTTGTGCATACGTATCCGTGCAAGCGCATTCGCTTTTACCTTTGCGTGTGCCTGCCTGTGTGTGTGTGTGTGTGTGTGTGTGTGTGTGTGTGTGTGTGTGTTGTTATTGATGTGTACTAACACCGATATACATGTTATTGCTGATGTGTACTAACACCGATATACATGTTATTGCTCATGTGTACTAACACCGATATACATGTTATTGCTGATGTGTTTCTTCACTGATATACATATTAATAATGTTGATAAACTACGATGATATACCTGTTACTAGTAATGTATAGTAACAGCGATATATATATATATATATATGATGTATATATCTACCTACACGTTAATAATGGTGATAAATCCTACAATAATATACACGTTGCATGTACATACTGCTGCTTGCGCTGATGGTGATGGTGCTCATGACGACAACGACGACAAAGATGATGAGCATGATGATGATGATGATCATGATCATGATCATGATACTGATGATGATGATGATGATGATGATGATGATGATGATGATGACGACGACGACGGCGACGATGATGAGGATCATAGTGATGGTGATGCTGCTGCTGCTGCTGAAAATGATGATCATCATCGTCACCGCCGCCGCGACCACCACCGTCATCATCGTCATCGTCATCACCATCATCATTATCATCATCATCGTCACCATCATCATGTCTTTGGTGTCTGCGGGGCAACGGGCGCACACGCGATATACGATTTTTAAATGCAGTCCCCGATGATAGTCGTGCACGAATTTGCGCCGTCGTGATTCGTCGCCGCATTGCGGGAAAGCAGGCGAGGCGAGCTGCCGAGATCGATGGCGTGGCTGCTCGCTCCTCGGCAACACCTCGATAAATTATTTCTAAGCGCCTAAACTCACCGTGGCCCGCGCTGCTGACGCATCGGCTGCCCCACCGGCGCAACATGAGCAGCGAGTTACGCGGAAGAAAGTCCGCATACGCTTTTTTTTGATTGCTTATTTGGGTGCGTGTGCGTGCATGCGTGCGTGATCTGGTTTGTGTGATTGTGTGTGTCTCTGAGCCCGTGCCTGCGCTGCTAGGCTTATTAATAGATAATATGGATGTTGACGAACGCTTTACCGTGTATATATCATAAACGGATCCCCGGCCGTATCTTGCCGGCACCGGACATTAGCAACACGCCAGGTATCTTAGTAATACTGTTAAACAGATCACAGTTTCACGCGAACGCGCTTAGTCATATGGACCGCTACGCCGACGCAAGGTATACCATCGATAGAGAATTACAACCGAAAGAAGGGCCGCCTGCACGCGTTTACCTACGTCTCGATCAGGTAGCGACGAGAGGCGACGTCGCTTGCCGTAGTCACAGTCAGCATTTGCAGTCTCCGCCTGCAGTCATCGTCTGCACGCGGGTATACCCGTCGCTAATTCGACTCCGCCGCCGCTCCGGTCGTTTCGATTTTCACGTGCTTGCCGACGCCGCCATTCGCAGTATTGCCGTAGGAACGCGCCAGTATCTTATTGAACGTCTCCTGCCATTTCTCGGCGGCCGTCACGGATGCGTCGAGCGCTTGCGGACTGCCGGTCGGCGCCGCCGACGTCGGCGGATAGCCATGAGTCGACGCTGGGGTTCTCCAGAGCGACGTAAAGGCGCTGCTGGTCGCGTGCCACAGGCCGGTGGGGATCGGTGGCGACCAGACGACGTGACCGGCGTCGTAAGAGAGCACCGTCGGTCGAATGACGGGCACGGCGTCGCCGCGAGACCTGCCGGATGTGAACGTCGCGCCGTCCATCGTGCAGTCGATGGCAAGCTCCGGCGAGCTATCTCGCCGCTGCTGACCGCTGTCCGCTAGCTTCGCGTCGAGGTGCGAGCTCTTACGGTCGTGCTCGGGCGCCAGAAGGCTGTCCATGTCGAAGAGTCTCTTTCTGTTCGCGGGAGCCGCCGCCGCCGGAGCCGCCGTCGATGCCGTCGATGCCGTCGATGCCGTGTGCTGTATGGCACCCGGAGAACAAGCAGGCGGTGAGTTCTGCATGCTGCCGTCGCTCTGCTCTGCGTCTGCCTTCTCGGCCACCCTCGCCGCTGCTGCCGTCCCGTTGCCGCTGCTCGATGGCGCGTTGTTGCTCAGGTGTAAGTACTCCTCCATTTTCTTCTTCCATTCGAGTATTGTCGGTGACGTCGGGCCCGGCGGCGGACTGTCGTCCTCGTCGTCGTCCGGAACCGACAGTCCCATGTGCTTGCGAACCTTCCGCTGCGCCCGACGCCGACGAAAGTCGCCCCGTGCGAAATCTTCGATGTTCGCCGGGTGTATCGCCCAGTAGTGACCCTTACCGTTGGCGCTTCGGCCCGCCTTGATGAAGCAATCGTTGAGCGACAGGTTGTGTCGAATGCTATTCCGCCAGCCGGGACCGCGCGCGCGAAAGTACGGGTAGTTGTCGAGTATGTACTGGTAGATATCGCTGAGCACCATTTTCTTCTCCGGATTGCCCATAATGCCCATACCTATCAGGCCGATGTAGCTGTGGCTCGGCTTTGGTTCCTCGTGCAGGAATCGAGCGCGATGATCGTGCGCGGCGATGCCAAGCATTCCGTAGTCCTGCCGCTGCGACGCGTACGGGTGCATCGTCGGTGGAAAGGAGAATCCATAGCGTAGCCGCGTCGTATAGTCGTACAGCTGCACGCGCTGGTAGTCGAACGCAGCCTGCGGAATCGTGTGCCGTAGCATTGGGTTGTACAGGAGAGGCTCACTGATCGCCGGCGGTTTGAAGCCGTAGGGCACCAACCTCTGCTCGTTACTGCACATCGTCGGTCGTGTGTGCCGACGAAACTGGCGGACGCTTTGTTTCACCTTGTTTAAATCATTCATTGGCTAAACTTTACGTGATAAATACAAAGTAAGGAATAGGCTAATCGGGCGCCTGGCCGCGCAGCTGCTGCGCTGATTGGCTGCCGGCGCGGTGACGTCACCTGCGCACCTACTCGCTGTGGGAAATATGATTACGGCGTCTGCTGCTGCTGCTGCTTATGCCTCGCGCGGAATTGTACTAACGGACGCTAACCTGATACTGGCCTGTTATATGTTGCGAGAGAAAACAAGCAAAGCAGTACATCGCAACAGTAGATAAACAGCACTATAAACAATGTTGTAAAATAGTGGCTATAGTGGGCGAGGCTTTAATATTCGCAGCATCTTCCGTAATAATCGTGATCGATATATAAGGCTGCATATACACGTAGTGTGCGCAAACACAGAACTAGATATAAATATTACATTCTATATTACTATTGCACGACGGGTATTCCATCGCTGGTTATAGGCATGATGACCTGCTCAAAGGACCATATCGAATATATATATTGTCGGGAAACCGCTCAAAAAGGGCAATCGGTACGGAAAGGGGAAGTAAAAGAGGAACAAGACTATCGCATGATTTCCTTTGCTTCCGAAATATTGCGCAAGAATGGGCGTTATAATAGTAGTTGCGATATATATATATTATATTCAGAAGAACAAGGAAACTGGGGTGTAATAATAATCGATTCGATTCTTCATTTACTTCATACACACGCACACACGGCGATCACGCACACACACACACACACACACAACCACACACACCCACGACACACACCACACACACACGCACAGTCACATCAGGCAACCACAACACACACACACACACACACCACACACACACACCACCACACACGAACACAACACACACACACTTCACACGCACACACACACACCACACCACAGCACACACACACACACACACACACAACACACACACACACACACACACACACACCACACACACACGTCATTGCTGGGCTAATGAGAATGCAGTTATACGTTCGCACTCAGTAGTAAACCGGTAGTGGAAAGCGGTGACCAGTTATTACTCATTCGCGGCAGAGCATTCATGGTAGCAGTTCCCTTACCGCACGTATGCAATGCATACTTATATACATTCGTGCCTCTGGAAACTCGAGACATCCATTTAGCATTCATTGTCTACTTAAGATGTGACTTTTTGTCTATACTTTAATAATTAACGCTTGCTAATTAGGTCTAATTATAGATGAGTGGATCGTTACGTGTGCTGACTGTGCAGTCGTGTATGCAGCCAGTCGTGCTCTACACACGGCTATACACTGCCAAGCGCCACCGTTGCCTTTATCAGTGGGGCGAATCTCGCTCATTCACCTACCCCCCATCTCTCTATGGGCATTGTTTATATGAGGGAGGTGTCAAACCATGCTTACGTACACTGTTTGGATGCGCTCTGAGAGTCTTATTCACGTGAACAGTCGAAGCTTCCCGCCTACCATTGTCGACGACAAAACACTGAATAGCAACTCGACTCGAGTGCTCTCTCTCTCCATCACTCGGGTGACCCGTCAAAATAGCCATTGCGACTTAACTAAGCGCGTGATGCCGCCATTGAGATGCCATTGTACGGCGTGATGAGGCGACACATGTAGCGACGACGACTTGCGAGTATATTTTCTGCGATTGTTGGTCGCGAGCCTCAGTTAGAATACGCGGCCCGCCGTGCGGGGAGCCGGGGGGAGACACGGCGAAGATAAAGTCACTGACTATCTCGTCGCGGCGCCCGCGGACTTGCGCGCCCCGGGACGGTCGCTTGTCGATGGGCGCCTTGTTTTTTACTTTGTAAATTAAGTGCTTTATTGCTGCGAATATGCGGATACAGCAAGGGTATAAACGACAGGTATACACGCATATACGCGCGTGCACACACACACAGACACACACACACGGCCGCAGCTGCATTTCTCGCGCGCTGGCACACAACACACACACGCACCCGCTGCGCACGCAACGCTACACACACCACAGGCACAACTGCACACACACACGCACGCACGCACGCACACACACCAATTTATTAACTAGCTCGTGACGTAGGAACAGAAAAGAGTAAGTAGAGTACCCGTTATAATCAGGAGTAACAGATAATATGGATATACCTGGATATTAATTTACACCTTCTTGAACGCATACGCAGTAGCTGCGCGCAGTGTGAATGAGTAGATGTCTGTGTGCGCATGGGCGTGTGTGTGTGGGTGTGTGCATGTGTGTGTCGGCTTTGGTGGGCTGTGTCGGCGTGTGGTGTGTGTGTCGTGAATGCTGTAGTGTGTGTGCCGACGACTCTGTGGGCGGGGCGGCTGATCGGCGCTTTTTGTCGTGAGCGTGGATTGTGGTGTGTGTGTGTGTGTGGGTGATGGCCGTGGTGTATTGTTGCTGTGTTGTGTGTGTGTGTGTGTGTGTAATGTGGTGT